AAATTTTAAAATAAAAATTTTAACCCCTAACTAATGCACTACTCATGCCTTTTTTTTCCTTTGCTTTTTTTCATCAATTTATGTTCTTTTTTTATTTAATTAGGTGTTAAAAATTTTAAAAAATCAATCGATAATTTTTTCCACACAAACTCACGATTATAATATATATATATATATATATATATATATATATATATATATATATATATATATATTACATTCATACAATATGATTTTAGATTTTATTACGATATTTTTTTTTTCAAGTTGTTTCATTATACATGCCTTTTCTTTTCTTTTCTTTTTTCCTTTGCTTTTTTCAATCAATTTAGTTTCTTTTTTTATTTAATTTATTTTTAATTTTTAGGTTGTTTCATTTTGGTCTCTAAAATATGAAAATAAAAATTTTAATCCTCTAACTAATGCACTACTCATGTCTTTTTTTTCCTTTGCTTTTTTTTTCATTAATTTATGTTTTTTATTTTATTAGGTGTTGAAATTTTGAAAAATCAATCGTTACTTTTTTCCACACAAACTTATAATTAATGATATATATATATATATATATATATATATATATTATTTTTTACATTTATACAATATGTTTTTAGATTTTAGAATAATTATAAACTACTCTTATTGTTTCAAATTGATTTTTTTGATAAAAATTCTCATCAATTTAATTTTTATTCCTATTTTTTATATAATTTTATTTATTAATAAATATAACTTAGTTTCTTTGCATATGGATTCGGATAAGTTTTTTATACTTGTTTTTATTTGCTTGGTTCTTATATAATCGAATTTTAAAAATTGAATATATATATTATTTTTTATATAATCAAATTTTATCAAAATTAGTTTTATAGTTTTTACTACACTCTATTAAATTTAATATATATTTTACCATTTAATTTTTTAAAAATATTTTTTAATTTATTTTATACATTCTCACTTATTGAGTACGGTCATGATATGCAAAAAATAATAACATTAGAGTCATTCATTTTATTATAAATCAACTATGCATCTACATACACAATCCCAACTATTTGCTATTAATTTTTTAATATTTAAAATGATTATTTTCAAATAAAATAATTAAAATAATATTTTAGAATAACAACCTAATAATTCAAATACAATTTTGTATACTAATATTACTCATTATTTTGTAAATGGGTAACTATAAATCAAATGTAAATATTTAAAAAATAATAATCTTCTCATCAATAAAAAAGTTTCATTTGTTAATTTTCATACAAGTTTTTATATTAATTATTCTTTTATTTCTTCGATGCAATGTAATGAAGAAAATATGAAGATTTTAAAAAAAATTATATTAAAATTTGTTTATTAAGGGTTTTTATTTAAAAATAAATGCATAAGAAAGAACAAATCATATTTTTTTTACTTCAAATTTCATTCAAAGCATGAAAAAATATATATAGATATAAAATTTTGATTAAAAATTATAAAATTAGATGAAATTTTATCTTTTATATTTAATTTAATATATTTTACTTAACCGACAACATAATATATGTTATCAAATTGAAATAAATATGTTTAGTTCGATCCATAGCGTAACGCGAGAATCCGAACTATTTATATGTCTAAAATTCATATTCACTTATTGTTCATATGCATAAAATTACTATGTACTTGATGGAAATTTAAGTCATTTTTGTATGTGATTTTTTTGTGTGTTTTTTAGGCATTAATATGCAATTTTAATATTTTTTTTCTATTTTTCGTCCCTCATGTTGTAACATTTTTTTCAATCTTTAGCTTTCATTTTTCTTTGATTTTCACACGACAAGCATATATATACTTCGAGCTTATACTACTCTTATTATTTAAATTTTATTTTTTGAATTTATCATTTTTTTATGAAAATTCTTATCCAATTAATATTTTTATATAAGATTTTATTTACTAATAAACATAATTTATTTTTCTCTATGTTTGAATTTTTGAATAAAATTTTAAAACATAATTTTTTTTATTTTTCAAAAAATAAATTGGTATAATATATATATATATCATGAATTCTTAGAACAATTAAATAATAGTTGTGTATATATAAATATATAATTATTTTATTTTAAAAGGTTAAAAAGTGTATTTCAAATAATTTGTCTTAGTTCACTAGGTATGGTCAAGAAATATAAAAATATATATATTAAATCATTGATTTTATTAAAAATTAACTATACATCTTCCAACATAATACAAATTATTTATTATGAATATTTTTTTAATATTATAGAATCAATTTATTTGAAATAAAATAATTAAAATAATTTTTTAAAGGAACCGATCAATTATTCAAATATAATTTTTTATGCTAATTTTATGGATTATTTTATAAATAAATATATATATATATATATATATATATATATATCTAATGCATATACTTGAAAAACATAATCTTCTCACCAACATTAAATAAGAATAAAATTTTATTTTTTTATTGATTAATTTTTATGCAAGTCTATACATTAATTGTGTGTGTGTGTGTGTGTGTGTATATATATATATATATATATAATTTTAAAGTAAGCTTTTGAATTCTTAATTAATGTTTTAAGTTTAAATTATTAGAAGTTTTTATTTAAGAATCCTTGAATAAAAAAGATTAAATCATGTTTTTTAAGCAAAAATTTTATGAAAACACAAAAAAAAAAAAAAAAAAAAAAAAAATCATAATAATAAAATAAAAAAATTAATGAAAAAATTATAAAATTTTTAAATGATTTTGTTTTATCTATCCATAGCTATTGCGAGAAATAATTTCAAAAATTAATCTTCTCATCAGCATTAAATAAAATAAAATAAAAATCATCCGTTAATTTTTGTAAAAGTCTATCCATTAATTATAACTTTATTTTTTGGGATACAATATTATGAAAATTATATTTTTAAATTTTTTTTAATTCTTGATTAATATTTTAGTTAAAATTATTACATTTTTTTATTTTAAAATCAATTCATAAAAAAGAATGATTTTTTTTTTTAAGCGTAACATTTATAAAAAAAATTAAAAAATTAATTAAATTTTTTTATATAATTAAAAAATTTTTAAATGATTTTTTTCTATTGGACTTGTAGCGTAGCACGAGCAACCGACTAGTTTATACAAATAATAAAAACACCGGAAAAACAAAAACTTTGTTATTCATGTCAAAAAATACTAGCAAATTATAAATTTAATCCTTTTATTTTTAATTTTTTATAACTTAATCCTTTTTATTCTTTTTTAATTTATTTAAATTTTTTGTTTTAAGAAATTTTAAAAAAAAATAGGACAACAAAAATGTGAAAATAATGATGAAAAAAAATGACAATTCATGAAATTAAATAATATTGAATTAAATGCAATTAATGCTAATTAAGTGACTAAATAATTATTTTTTAAACAAAAAGAACTAAATAATTCATTTTAAAAAAAATAAAAATAAAAACTAATTTATAATTTCAGGAAAATACAATAGAATTTATTTTTTTTTATTTATTTATTTTTTTTTGGTGCTTTGAATCGTTCAAAATGTTTGGTCAAGAGAATCAAGTACCAAAATTAGTTGAGTTGGTCACGTTATGACAGAAGTTTGGCATTGCATTCATATTTGTAGAAGACGCAAATAACTTAATCACATCCATAGGTTCGTTTTTCCTGAAAAGCCCTAGCTAGTCCCTGATTGGAATTACCTCCCCAGCTTAGCAAGCAGCCATCAATTGGGTAAACAATTAAAAATACACATTGACCATAACATCTACTGAAGATTTTCAGGTGGAAAACAATTAGATAGACTCATCTTTTAGAGCTGTTGTTTGATACCCTCCTGTCTACCATCTAGTTAGCCTTGCCATGTGAAATCCTGAGCAGAAAATATCACTTCTATGAGGCAGATGCAAGATAATTCCAACACTATTAGACCAAGGACGCACGGTCAAAATTTTGATATTTAGTGCAGGTAGTTAAGACTCCAAATCAAATACTCAAAACAAGCTTTGTTTTAGAAATCCTGGCACACAATCCATTTGATACTTACAAAATCCATATAGGGAATTGAACTCTTTAAACAGCATGATCAGAACACCAGGTCATGACGATTTCCATAACCTGGGAACTCTAGCTCATAATTCCTCCGTATGCTACATGACGTGAGAACCTAACTACATATAAAATTTTGGAACGCAAGTCAGGATCCACAATAAGACAGCTAATCTGTCCATTACACTCAACAGACTAAATCATTTGTCTCACATCTGCAATAAGACGGTATTAAGAGTGAAAGTATAAAAAAGTCACACATCTCCTATTCAGAGTTTGTATTCTAAATGAATGATAGGACAAGCAGGCACAGGTAAGGCACAATGTCACAAACATGTCCATAAAGGGCATTGAACTCTATAAACAGCATGGTCAGAACACCAGGTGATGATGATATTCATGATCTAGGACTCTAGCTCATAATTCCTCCTTATGCTACATGACATGAGAACCTAACTACTTGTAATGGTTGAGAATGAAAGTCGGGATCCATAATAAGAAAGCTAATCTGTCCATTAAACTCAACAGACTAAATCATTTGTCTCACATCTGCATAGAGACGGTATTAAGAGTGAAAGTATAAAAAAGCCACACATCTGCTATTCAGAGTTTGTATTCTAAATAGGAAAAGCAAGCACGTGCAAGGTGCAATGTTGCAGACATATCCTAACTCTCATTCAAATAAACATAGATGAAACAAGATTCCCAAAGCATACACAAAGTCACATGATGATATCAAAACTAAATAAAAGGGAATTCTGAGTACATAATATTACTTCTTCAGAATAACAGTACATATTTATGCCAAATTCAGGGTCAAGGCAACCAAATATTAGTTACATAACCATATTAACAGTCAAACTAATATAGAATCCCCTACCTAGGCAAATACCACTACTTAGCACACATTTTCTATGGACAGTGATAAGAGAAAGTTCACTTACATAACCATCACTTTTCCAACCTCACTACCGTGAACCTTCCAAAACACAATGCCAGCATCATCAACCTTCTTAGTATCAATAGCAACAGCCCCAAATATTGCTCTAAAAGCACCACAAACCACTGAAGGAGTCGTCGAATTAGTCTTGGAAGAAACTCTAACCACCTTGTGCAATCCCAATCTCATCCCATCAACAGCACATGAAGTATCCACTTTAGAGTTTTCTGCTATCCGGCGGTTGAGTTCTTTCGAGGAGATTCCAATGTCCTTTCCAATGTAATACATAGAGACAGATGTGTCGATCACATTTGATCCCAGAATGCTAAATGCCTTATTGTTCTCCTCAGAGAATGAGGAGTGTGTCATTGCTTGGCGAAGATAACCAATGTTCTTGAAAGCATAGCTGCAGATTGAAGAAGCACAACAATAAAACTTCTTTTGGTCCATTGGGAAATAAACACATTGAATCTATAGGAGAAAAAAAAATTGAAACTTTATAATGACTATGGCTACTAGTTCCACATTTAGCACAAATTATGCCTTTTTTTTTATGTTTTCAACTTTATCTTTTGGGTCCATGTCTATAATAGGATACAAATTTCATTTAAGATCCCAATCTTACAGTTGATTATCCAGCATTTCTTGGAAGCCAAATACAGCTTTATGATAAAGAAGGCAAACAGGGAAATGAACCCAAAAACTTACCCGATTTGATTCTGCAGCGTGTCAAGTGCTGACTCAAATGGCGATGATTTAAGTTTGTTTGCATCTCCAACCTGAATAAATCAAATTCGCATGGTAAGTTACATCTTTTTAAGTTTCACTCCTCTTTTACATTATAACAACAGAAACCAAGTAAAACATTTTAGGGTTTTTAACAATAGGGTTTTGCCCAAACAAATATACCAGTGAAAGGGAGAAGATGGACAAGACGACTAGCGGAAAGACAGTGAAGCGAGAAGAAGCCATTTTTTCAAACTTTCTCGATCTTCAGAGGTTGTTTGTTTTATGCCTTCGCTCTAAAGCTTCTGGGGCCAAGGAACTTTACCTTCCATACGAAGTTGCTTGATTTTAAGGTTGAGAGGTTATATGGTCGTCAATGGGGCCCTTTATAATGTTTTGGTGGGACAGCATCTTCCCGGAACAGGGATGCAATACCCATCCATTAATTTAATGTTTTACTCTATTGGTAACAAGAATAATCTATCACTTATTTATTTAAAAATCACTACATAAACCTTCATTCGACTCATATTGATTTATCCATTTATTTAATATATATTTAATACTTATTAAAAATATTTTATTTTAGACTTTATAATATTGTCTTTAAATTTTTTGGTCATTTTTTAAAGTTTTTTGGTTATTAAAGATTTTGAAAAAAAATATTTAGATCCTTAATTTTAAAATATTATGTAATTAAATTCATATATGTTTAAAAAAATTAAAATAAATTAATAGATATTAATAAGATAAGAAGTAAGTACTCTAATTCTAAAACCATATTAGTAAATATATAATTTTTATTATTATCCACTTTAATTTTTTTTTTTTCGGGCATGTATACCAATAGAAATTGTTAAAGGACCATCTCACGTTGCTTTGTGCTTAATACTTGAAAAATTGAAGATGATGAGATTTGAACTCAAGATCTCTTGGTCAATTAAACTCGATACCATGTTAAATGATCATACCACCTAAAAGATTAAGTTCGTTAGATAAGACCCAATAATATAATTTATATCACTCTTTAACAAAAATCAAATAACTTTCGAGATTTGAATCCTCTTACTGTTCGAACGAATATAATAAATAGTAAATTTTATGGAATGATCTAGATAAAATGAGAGAAAACAAATTGCATTATAGTAATGCTACACAACAATCATTTTAATTTATTGGATCCACATTTCATCACTTACATGTCCACACATTTATTACATAGAAATTTAATACAAAAAGTTTGTTTATAAATGTTTTTCTATTGTCTGATGCCCTAAATCGTGTTTGTTCAATATAAATTTAATAATTCAGATTTAGTAATCATAATAGCACATTTAATTTTTTAAAAAAGGAAGCATGTGAGAATCTCAATCCAAGTATCCTCGCTCAAAACAAGATATATAAGCATGGCCTCCTAAAGAATGCCTTTCTTTATATAAGCAAAAGCATGTATACAAAAAACTAAAAAGAGTTCTCTCATCAGGAAACTATACCTATTATGATAAACATCTGATCTGAACCTGTGAACTACACAGTATCTATTCCCCTCCAAACCAGAAAATACATACACCCCTCCTCATTTCCCTGCAATGTAGAGGAAAGAAAAAAGATCAATTTTATGAGTCATGTTTGATTGAGGCCACAAATTCTTCATCATCCCATCTTGCATCATGCAAAGCACCAGCATCAAACCCCCCAGAGCAATAAGTTCATATCAGAAACCAGCTTCAGGAGAAACCTACTGTATAAAAACTGAAAAAAGATTTATCCAAACAAGAACCCTTCTTGCACCCAACCATTTGACACCATGGTGCATGTTCAACCTGTGTCATTCCATGGAAGGCCAGAATCACAGTTCCTTTCAGACAGTATTATCGAAAGAAACTTGCGTTTCTGTGCTACTCAACTTTGAATTTGAAGCATCAGTCAAGCATTGAAGCAAAGCTAATACATCAATGGTATCATCTAGATAGTATCTAGCTTTGCTAGGCTTTTGGCCCACAGTGCATGCAAAAATGTTTGGAGCTGAAGGAAGTGACGAACCATATGATACTGTGTTCAATATGCTTTCAAACATGTCTTCATCAGATCTGTCATCCCCAATGCACAACACAAAGCCTGGGGGTTTCCCATTAGCGATCATTTTGGAAAGAACCTTCTCTACAACAAACCCTTTAGTTACTCCCTGCACATTTTTAAGGGTGTTAGACCATTTGAAAAATAAAAAAGAAAACACAAAAAATAAATCAGGAACACAAGAACAAAGAATAAACAAAAACACACGCATACCTGTGGTTTTACTTCAACAATATTCTGACCCCTCTTAACAACTACTGGATCATTTGCAAGGACACTTTCCAGATGATCTAACAGTTCCTTGGCCTGGCAAGATCCAAAATCTGGATCAGCATCTTGGTGGTGCCATACCAAGGCACTCTCCTTAGCCTCTATATAGGAACCATCAGTTGCCTCTGTATACAATTTCATGACAGGTTCGGCAATTTTTTTCCAATCAAAATCTGCAGCCAAGGAACTCGTTTCCCAATCAGACACCCCACTCCACCTACAAGGAGAAAAGGAAACCTCTTACAAAAAGGGATCAACAGAACACAACCAAATTATCAGAAAACAACTAGCTTCATTTGCTATTGCAACCACTTAATAAGTGGAGAAGTTAACTTTCCTTAAATGCGTGCAGTGTTTGAACCTTCCAAGTTCCATTTAATAGACAGATATATATATATATAAAGTCTTGCTAGCCAAATTATTAAGCTAGACATTCAATATTTAATACCTATTAACATACCTCAAGAAATATCCATGCTCAGCTGCTATACCCAGATTTTCACATTGGACAAACCAATCACTCAGAGACTTTTTTCCTCTGCCACTAACTATAAACACACTGTTCATCAGATCAGCACAAAGATTGTTTAGAACAGAGATGACTTCAGGAGTGGGCCTTTTAGCAATGGAAGTATGGGGCACCACTGTTCCATCATAGTCCAAGAATATAGCCCTTTTAGATGTTCTCTTGTATGCAGAGACAATAAAGTCATTAGAAAGCTTCCTAAAGCTAGGAGAGAGTGACAAAATTCTGAAATTCAGACCAAAGCCAATGCCCCAGCAACGTTTGCTGTAATGATCTATGCACGCTCGCCTCAAATCCTGCATAAAACTGCAGGCCCAATAAGCTACATCATGAGAGCTAACATAGCGATAGTGCTTTTCATGCCGCAACTGCTTCTCTAAATCAGGCATTTTGATGGCCACATTCAAGGCATTGGCTACAGCTTCAATATCCCATGGGTTTACTCTTATTGCTCCACTTAATGATGGAGAGCAACCTGTAAACTCCGATACAACTAGTGCACTTGTATGACGTGACCCAGAGGCAACTCCTAAAGCTTCGTCCATCTTTGGCGTCCCCTGCCTGCATACAATGTACTTGTATGGGATCAGGTTCATTCCATCCCTCACAGCATTCACAATGCAGCATTCAGCCAATGCATAGTAGGCAGTTTTCTCACAAAAGGGGACATGACGGTCAATCAGGACCACTGGTTTGTAGCCTGGAAAACCAAAAGCATCATTTATCCTTTTGGTAATTGTAGATGTCTCCATTATTGCTTCTTGTACATCTTTCCCTGAGCTCCGTGCAGGATTTACAATTTGAACCAGGACTAATTTTCCCCGCAACTCTGAATTCTGCTGCAAAAGATGCTCCATAGCTAATAACTTCAAACTAATTCCCTTAAATATGTCCATATCATCAACTCCAATAACAAGCCTTTTCCCCTTAAACTGTTCTTGGATTTCTTTGACCTTGATGGAAGAAGAGGGGTGATCTAGAGCAGATTCAACTCGGCCCATATGAATCCCCACAGGCAAAATTTTTATGTATACTGTGCGGCCAAAATACTCAAGACCAATATGACCACGTTTGGATTCGTAGTCTAGGCCCAACATCCGGCTGCAACATGATAGAAAATGGCGAGCATAATCAAATGTATGAAAACCAATCAAATCTGCATTCAGCAGCGCTTTCAGAATTTCATCTCTAACTGGCAGAGTCCGGTAAATTTCTGATGAGGGGAATGGGCTGTGCAGGAAGAAGCCAAGCTTAATTCGATTGAAACGTTTCCTCAAAAAGGTAGGGAGAACCATTAGATGGTAATCATGGACCCAGACATAATCTTCTTCTGGATTAATCACTTCCATGACCCTATCTGCAAATATCTTATTAGCAGAGACATAGGCCTGCCAGAGCAACCTATCAAAGCGATTGCCATGATCCGGACTCATAGGTAACATGTAATGGAAAAGGGGCCACAGATGGTGCTTACAGAAACCATGGTAAAAGTTTTTATAAATATCAGGAGGAATAAATGTGGGTACGCAGTTAAATTCCTCCAGCAGTTTTTGCGCAACTTCTTCCTGTTCACTTGAATCAACATCAACCCTGAGAGACCCCACATAAACAACCTCGGGATTCTCTGAGAAGCCATCCTTCATTTGCAACAGAAGTGAGTCCTCATCAAAACTGAATGACCATTTGCCAGATTTTAAATCCTTCTGAGCATTCAGAGGGAGAAAATTTGACACTATAATCTTTTTGCGCAGCTTCCAGTTGACGGAGCATCAGAATTGCCATCGTTAGTTCCATCTCCATCTACATCAGAAATTATTCCTGGAACAGTCATTATCCTTGGAAGGGATCTAGGAGTCTGACCGAAATTCATCATGTTCCCTGATGCCAAGTCCAATAAACTTATGCAAGATCTCGACACCATTGTTGTCAGATAGTAGTATTCTTGTTTCTGGCTATTGAGTTAGAAGAACAGAGATAGTGCAGAATCAACACCTTCCTACCAAAAAGATCTGGAAGGAGTAATAAAAATATTAGAGAACTAAAGACCTGCAGCAAATGGGAGAAAAAATATTTAACTACCACATGATGTGATGAACATTACTCAGCCTTCTAATAACCAAACAGAAATATATAAAACGAATAAAAAGAAATCTATGGACCATAAATCATTCATTTCTGCTGCCCTATATATGAATAAATAGGTGTGGTCGCCAACAAATACAGGCCCACCATTTGCAATAGATCTTACACCTATTACAAGTTAAAAATCAGGAAAAAGCAAAGGCTCGAAATTTTGAAGCCAAAAAACATATCTAGCTCCTCAGGACATCTCAAGGCTCCCGTGCATCTAATCATAAGCATTACTAACTTGCCAACGATAAAGGGGAAAGGAAAGGTTGATGTGAACTAAGAATTTTCAAAGGCTATGTACATCACTCAGTGACACTTTCAAGATCTTGGCCAAGATCTTGATCATTCGTATGAGTGTCATACTGTATTCAGAGTCCCAATAAATATCCTTTGATTATTTACTGTCAGGCAAGGTCCTCAAAAAAATTAATGATGAATTAACGTTTATAATCAGAAGATCAAATAGAAGAACAGAGCTACAATTCTAATAAAGATAAACTGGTGAACAAACAGAAAGATGTGTATCATAATAAAATGAGAAAGTGAAGAGAACATTATTTCAGAGTGAACTTAATGAGTAATTGAGTTGGTCAAAGAGAAACTGCTTGTTTATATCTGTTTGTCTATAACTCTATATATGCAAAACTATTATTGAGCCAATCTTAGCATATATTACACAGAAAGTAAATTTAAATTCTTAAAACGTATCTAGTCTTATTACAATTATCATCCTCTCATATGTCAAAAGAATGAAAAAAGAGAGAGAGAGAAAGATGTTCACCAATAAATATATGAAAGAATTAGAACACAACTGGAAGGTCAAACACCGGAAAAAGGTGACCGGCTGGTTGAATATACCCAAAAGGGAGTTAGGCCATACATTCCAACTCAATCTCAAAGATTTAAAATGTAGCCAACAAGTAAATAAAGTCATGATGTTGATGAATAGATCGAAGAAAATAAAAAAGCTATCAAGCCATGCATACAGGAAAAACATAAACTCAACCAAATGATTCATATACATACCTAGATTCACTAGCTCAAACGCAGGCAACAGATTCTTCTTCCTAGATCTTTCTTATTCCTAGCCTTATGCAACTCAGTGAGATTGCTTCTCAAGAATTCACGGTTGAACACAAATTTACGAAGCCGCTGAAGGGAGAAGGAAGGATATGCTTTGAAAAGATAAGGTTATCACGGTGAGTTTTATGAATGCAGTATAGACTTCTTGCAGCACATGCCTTTATAATACTCAGTTCCAGCAAAACAATTAAACCACAGAATCTGTCCTCCAAATCAAAATCCCGGATTGGGATTACATTTTTATGAGTTAGATTGGCCAAATAAATTCATCCTTATCTCCTCTTGCATCGAAATCTTCGCACAAGCCGACAAAAAATCCAGAAATAATAAGAGAAATGTGGACGTACTTGATTTGTGGAATAAATGTACATTCTCTAATTACAAATATTCCAATTATATCGACATAAAAATGATTACTAAACACCATAATTAGTTAATTACATTAATTTATCCAAGCACCAATAATTCAAAGTATAAGATTACACTCGGCTATTCATCCAAAAACTTCTTCAAATTTTCAGAAGTAAATAAATAAAAATAAAAAAACACAATTCTAGCTGCAATTAATTGATATATGTTACTTTATTTTCCAGATTCTACAGCTGGACATTATCTGCAGCAGCTAAAAATGATTTTGCCTTCAAGGGCCACAACTTAACTTCAAATACACAAGCATATACCATTTAAATGTCTCACACTCTCAGATTCACTATTATTTTATTGGAAACTATCTATAATAAAAAATGGCAATAAAAGAGACTGTATGATAACAAGAGCAATCATAAATGGTGGCCTACATGCACAATTTGCAATCATTTCTTGTTCCCTGCCAATAGTTTTAATTTTTAAGAACTTGATAACTTAAAATGTCCTTGCACTACATAAAAGCAGAGAAGAGTTAAGACAATATTGAAAAACCGTCTCTTGAACAATAAAACTCAGAGACAAAGAAAGGCAAGTATTTTTTATATATATACAACAAGAACTGGCTTTCTTAAAAAACAAAGTCTTTAACATAAGAAGAAATGCCCATTATAAAGATGCAGAAAAAGAGAGAAGCGATCGTAGTTCTTGGGAAAGAATAACTGTTAAATTTAGAAAAAGAGTTCAAAGGCAACATCAGAACCTATAGATCTCACAGTTCCCATTAAATAACATAATCCAAAAGGGGCAAAAGTCACCTGAAAGCGAGGAAACTGATTCAACAAAAAGAGCTTCCTGCCAGCACTAAGAACCTAGAGTTATCCTGCCACCAAAATCAATACAATCAGAGTTAAAACAAGAATAAACTCTATGTAGTTGTTGAGAAACAATACAATATACTCACTAAAGTAAGCCCAAAGAAACAATACAATATACTAAAGAAAACCCAAAAACACAAAAACCTCAAAAACTTAACAGAGCCCATTATTTCCCTCACGCTTCGATAGCAAGCAACCAAACTTAAAAATAAAAAAGAAAAAGAACAGACAAAAGAAACCCAGAAACATTTGGATAATGTGAAGTGTTCACTTACGAGAAATGAAATAATTATGGTCAGAGAAAGAATATTAACAGGGTATTTACAATACAAAGAAGGTGGTAGAGAGAGAGAAAGGTGTTAGGTTCAAAACTGGTAAGGTTTTGGGAGGAGAGTTTTATTTCTGGCAATGAAACCGACAAAGCAAAAGAAAAAATAGAAAGTTCTAAACTAAACGAATAGAATTGGAGGAAAAAATAAATAAGAAAAGATTGAAGCATTTTTTTTTATATATTTTCGGTTTTTTGGTTTGGTATTTGGTGTTTGTTGATTCAACAAAGGAAGCTGAAATGGATAAAAACGTAGAATATAAAAGTCAAAAAGGAACATGGATTGGGTTGGATTGGACGGATTTTGGGTTTTTGAGATTAGAAAGAGACACTATTCTTTATGTGTACAGTTTGATTGCAACTGTGGTTGGTCTTACGTTATAGTCCTCTCTTCTGTACTTGTCTTTGCTCTTTTGCCCTTGTTTTTCAAGCCTTTTTACCACTATCACCCTCCTAATTTTCATTCCAATTCCCTGCCTTCATATAAAACATGTTTTTCTTTTTCCGATTAACGACATCATGGAGCTGGTTTCTATAATTCGAAACCAAATTCATTTCTTTTAATAGATTTATAAGAATTTTACTTATCTTCATTTAATAATAAATTTTGCGTAATATATGAACTGTTTAAATAACAAAAATACGACATTGTGAAGGTATCTAATGAAAATTAAAACTGAAAAAAATAGAAAATTGATCCAAATATTTCCTATTCAATTTTATGAGTTTTTTTATTCATTCTTCATCTTATTATTTTTTAACTTTTATTTATTACAGGATAATTTTTCAACTAATTTTAAAGGACTGTGAATATATATCCCAAAAACTTATTAGCTTAGGCATTGTAGTTTTACAAAGTGCATGCTGCTCCACTCAAAAAATAAAAGAGAAAAAAAAAAAACCTTTTAAAAAAAATACAATATTCATGAATGCTCACTGCCACCTATGTCAAACAGGATTGGGAATTAAAGATAGACCCTCCAGATAATTACCTTACAATTTAGGATATTTCATATTGGCTAGCTAAGGCCTAATTCTTTAGGTGCCAAAAGGTGGCGTTCCTTATTGAATAAAGAACATTATCCTTCAGCAGTGTACGTAATCTTTCCATGGAAGTTTCAAATTTGTTCAGTACAATACTATTTTTATTTATTTATGTCTACCTGCCTCAGGATATACGTAGACTTGGCCCCATTATCTCTTCTTCTCCTTAAAGAAAAAAAGAAAAAGAAAAACTAACCTACTTATTTTAAAATACTAGCAGACTGGGAAAATGCCATGCCTATTAATAGCACAGCCTAGTTGGAATCATTGTGAATTTCTCTATCCATCCAAAAGAGACATTGCGGCTCCAGCATTTTATGTGTGGAATAAAGAAATAATAACAAATAAATAAAAACACTGACAATGGTAAAACAATTTAACTGCTAGCAAGGTCCACTTGAGGAAAGTTTTTGTTAACGAGATATATAATATTTGATTGTGCAAATAATTCAATGTTCCATTTTAGTTACCATCAAAACAAAAAATTTGAGTTGGTTCAAAATTTATCTACCACAGGTATATGAGGTGGTTTGCTTAATTAGGAGATTATTTTTATGGTAAATAAGGAAAAACCTATCAATGTAATTTTATATCCCACGTTTTCTTGATCGTACTCTCAATATAAAAATCAATCAATCATGATTTTTAGTTTATCAATATCATTATCAACCAGTTTTTCCTTTAAATTTTTTCTTGTTTGAAATATTTGTTTTATTTTCTTTATAAATATTTTCAAAATGGCATTTAAGTTGATTCATAACGAAATTATCATGCGTAATACATGTAATAATTAATTTTGACATAAAAAAAAATCGACAGATGAATTTATTAGAAAATATTGATAAATTAAATATTATTATGATATAATAGAAAAGACATATATTGTAAAAATGCATGTTCATAGGTTTTCCTAATTAATTAGAACGAGGTGGTTTGTAGGTTCCTAATAGATTGGTTTTATGATAAACAAAATAAGTTAACATCTAGGCTAACCATAAACAGTAAGAAAAGTATTTTATCTTTTTCATCCACATGCACTTATAAGAATGAATTTCATTATTAAAGTAAAAAATTATGATATCTACGTAAATGAAA